TATAAAGAAAAGCCCTTGAAAAGGAGCCCATGTGAACTGGTGAGTTACTTCTTCTTCAACATTCTCTCTCCCAATCCCCCTCTCATTGCTTCAAAATCCTGGTATTCCTCCCATGTTCATCCCTCAGCCGACACACACACACACACACACACACACACACACACACACACACAGCCTTCCCCTCATTTTCCTTCTCATGAACCTTCACTTCATGTTGGAGCCCTGTCCACATGATCACTGCAAATCCCCAGGTAAATACTGAACCAAGATTGGTGTAAACTGGAGATATTATTCTACCAAAGAAGTGTTAGAGAGAGGGCCCAGAATGTTTACTGAGAGTTCACAAATTCTTTCCTGATCTTGGCAAAGACAGAAAATGAAGCCCCCTTTCCTCCGTGTCCTCCTAGATTTGGAGAGCAGCCAAAGGAATGGGTTACAAAGAGTACCCTTTGATTCCTGACAGTCTCAAGGCCTATGAAGGTAAAATCCAAGCTTCTTCATTCCTTTTCTCAGGGAGTCTTGAGAATCATACACTAGTACACATGCAAAGTATCATCATAACCAGCCACGTTATGGCCACACCTACACATTTTTAGTTTTTAACACAAGGTGAAAGATTTCTCACCAATTTCAGTTTCACATACAAGATGCAAAGTAATTTATTCAAAGCACTCCTGTGTTTAATTTCAAAACATTCATTTCTTCCCTCAGCAAATCTATGTTGAACATTTCAAAGAGCTGTAATTCATAGTTCCTGCCTTCAAACTACTCCTTTTCTAGTTGGGAAATGAAAACCCTATATAAAAGGGTTAACTGACAACACAAGACCATGCCAAGTTCCTTCTCATGGCTGGTGTGGCCTATATGGCTCTCATAGTTTTGGCAGTACTGAAAATTTCCACTCTAATTGCTTCTGTCACTACTGTCGATCTCTTCTCTAATACAGGGTAGTGCGTAAATGTGTTTCTAAGGTGCCTGGGTTTATATATGTGTTCTGCCATTCACTAGCTATGTGACCCTAGCCACGTTATTCAGCCTATCTGGGTCTCGTGCCGTCTCTGTAAAGTGAAGATAATAATATTAACCCACCTCACAGCACCATAGTGAGAGATAAATGAGTTAATACACACAAAGCACTTAGAATGATACCTGACACATAGAAGTTGCTCAGTAAATGTTAGTAATTATTATTTTCCTGGTGTGGCTACTGTTCTTTGTTAATACCAGAGACCACAATTCTTATTGGGCTTCCAAGAGAGGCTGGTAAAGTGCTGTATTCATTCATCCATTCAATCAACAAATATATGTTGGGCATTTACAAGTCCCTGAGTTAAACCCTGGCGTCATATAGACAAAGAAAATATGGCCCTTGCCTTTAGGACTAAACAATTTACTGGAAGAAGTCCTGGATTAATAGTGCCCTGAAGCACCTGGAAGAACCAAACACAAATCCTCCCTGGAAGAACACACCCACAACCTGGTTTTCATAGGATTCCCAAGGATAAAGTCAGGTTGAACATGAACTCATATTCCAAAATCATAAAGCACACAGTGAAGCCAGAAACATTGAAAACAGAATCAGGTCCTTAAAGATCTCAGGTATTGCAATTAGGTGATATAAAATATAAAATAATTTTATATGTATTAAAAAACAAAAGAAGATTTTGAAAACAAAAGATTAGCAAAGAACAAGATACTAACAAAATAAATAAGATTTTTTGGCCAGGCATGCTGGCTCAAGCCTGTAATCCTAGCACTTTGGGAGGCCAAGATGTGTGGATCACTAGAGATCAGGAGTTCAAGACCAGCCTGGCCAACATGGTGAAACCCCATCTCTACTAAATATACAAAATCAGCCAGGTGCGGTGGCACGTGCCCATAATCCCAGCCACTTGGGAGGCTGAGGCAGGAAAATCACTTGAACCCAGGAGGCGGAGGTTGCAGTGAGCCAAGATCGCGTGCCACTGCACTTCAGCCTGGGCAACAGAGCGAGACTCTGTCTCAAAACAAACAACAACAACAAAAAAAAAACCTTTTTATTTAAGTATCATCTTTTTATAGATGGCAAAGTTAGGGCTCAGAGAAGTGAGGTGACTCCTTCAATGTTACATAGGTTATAATGAGGGATTCAAATAAGTTTTCAGTGTCTACTGTTTTTTGGCAAACTCAGTGACTGGAGTTGTATTATTTCTTCCCTGAGTCATTCAACAAGTGAGATGATTACAAAGTGCTATGCTAGGACTGAAAATAAAAATAAAATAAAGATGAACAAAATAGAGTCCATGCCCTCAAGTAGCTTAAAATTCAGTAGAGAAGCAAGACTACATACATCTAAAAATAATTATTAATATCAGGCTGTGTGATAGAAACTACTGTGGTCTGGAACAGTAGGAAATGAGACTTGAAGAACTTCAAGAATGAAGTCTTGAAGAACAGGGTGGATCTACAGGGAAGAAAAACTTTGAATTGGCCAGTGGGCTAGAAGAGATGGAACGGCCTGACAAAAGCCATGGAGAAAGTCAACCTACAGAGCAGCTGAAGGAGGAGCAAGTGCATTTGGGCAGTGTGCTGGATACACGTAGGGGCAGGCCTGTGCTGGCACATAGGACCCTGTACTCAGAAGAGCCTCATGCTTGGTTTAATGCTCTGCTTTGCCACCATCTGGAAATCCTTGATTAATTTTTAACCTAGAGTTCCACATATTCATTTTGCACCAGGACCCACAGATGATGTGGCTGGTCTTCCATAGGGGAACGTGGGGAGGTATGGTTGTGAAAGCAGACCACTCTTGGGAAGGAAGGATCTGGAATGCCACATTGATATTTGCCCTGCAGACAATAAATGACTGACTGAAATTGTTTGAGTAGGGGAGGGATAGGGTGACTGTGGTTTTAGGAAGCCACATCTTGGAAAGAGGGGAGTGTTCAGATGGAATCAGAGAAAGAAGAGATGGGAATTTGTCAGGAGGCTATTGCAATAAAGCAATGGGGGCCTGGACAGAAATAGTGGCAGAAGATATGGAGAAGAGGAAAAGGTCATCATTGATTCAGTTATTCATTCTGCAGATGGTTAAGGCTACTGAGTACCTGTAATGTGTTAGTCATTATGTTAGGAGCTGGGATACGAGAATGTACAAGACTGTATCCCCAAACTCAACTTACTTACATAGCTCAGTGAGGAAGGCAGATAAGTAAACAGACTATGGTACCCTGATAGCCCGGTGTGCTAAGGGCTAGGATCAAATTACATTTAAATTGTTGCTAAGAGTCTCAAGAAGTGATATCTGAGCTGCATCCTGAAGACCACAGACAAGGCACAGAAGGTCACTCCAAAAAGAGGGAACAAGATATACAGAATTATAGAACATCTACTGTGTGCCAGGCTGGGGATCCTACCTCTCAGACTGGTAGAGGAAGCAGAAAGCAACCAGAGAAGAACAAGACAATGTGTCCAGTGCCATGTTGTGGACACTGTGGGAGTACAGAGGAGGGGCATCGAACCCGGACTGGAGTTGCAGGGAATACTGTTCCTTTTTTTTTTTTTTTTTTGAGATGGAGTTTCGCTCTTGTTACCCAGACTGGAGTGCAATGGCACGATCTCGGCTCACTGCAACCTCCGCGTCCTGGGTTCAGACAATTCTCCTGCCTCAGCCTCCTGAGTAGCTGTGATTACAGGCACGCGCCACCATGCCCAGCTAATTTTTTTTTTTTTATTTTTTTAGTAGAGATGGGGTTTCACCATGCTGACCGGGATGGTCTCGATCTCTTGACCTCGTGATCCACCCGCCTCGGCCTCCCAAAGTGCTGGGATTACAGGCTTGAGCCACTGCGCCCGGCCTGGGCAACTGTTCCTTAAAGATGTCTTCTAAGCTTTGTGTGTGGATGAGAAGGTGTTAGCTGGGTGAAGGGAGGGAGGAAGGGATGGGCACAGCGGTGGGAGGTGTGCAAATTCACAGAGGTAAAAGAGCCACATGTGTGGCTCTACGAGAATTGTAAATGACTCCCTATGATTTAATTCTAGAATGAACCAGCAAGAGCATGGTGGGGGAGGGGAGTATGGCCAAAGAGATAGACCTTAAATGCCAAGCTAAGCAGTTTAGGCTTCATCCTATAGAGCAATAGTTCTCAGCCTTGACTCTATATTAGAAGCACCTGGGGAACTTTTAAAAAAACAAATACCTATGACTGGATCCCACCCCTAGAAACTGATTTAATTAGTCTGCAGGAGAGGCGTTAGAACTTTTAAAAGCTCCACGGATTTATTTGAATGTGCAGCCAGGACTGAGAACGATGGCTCTAGGAGGCCAGTTCTCAAATTTGAGTGCTCATCACAATCACCTGGAGGGTTGTTGAACACAGAGTCAGGTGGGCACTTGCAGAGTTTCTGATTCAGGAGGTACTCTAATAAGTACGTATTCTCACTTTAAGAAGTTGCCAGAGATGCTGGTGTTGCTGGCTCCGGGACCCACGTTTTGAGAGCCTCTAGTCTCAGGTGTTGTAAGGCTATTTACAACTGTTAAGTGGAGGGGGTGGAGGTGTGAAATGATATGAGTTTGAAAGATCACTCAGGCCACTTTGGGGAGAATGGTCACAGAGGGGAAAGGAGAGGAGGTGAGAAAACAGGAAGGTATTGTAGGAATCAAGGCAAGAGATGACTGGAGGTGGGAGGAGTCCTGAACTGAAGTCCTGGCAGTAGGGATGGAGAAAATGGATCACATTCAGGGAATGCTCAGGAAATACACTTGGCAAGACTTAGTGGCTGACTGAATGTAGAGGTGAGAAATAAAGATGAGTGAACTACAACTCTTGGGTTTTTGCCCTGGGCAACCAGTGACTCTGATTTTACTGGGCATGGTGGTTGTCGTAATAAAAAGTTAAATGTGTTACCATGCTTAGGGTAGGCCACGGGAGAGGGGGGCATTTCTGCCCTCAAATCTCATAGCAATAGTCCCAGGGAATTCAACAGGCATCTCTAATTGCCCACTCAATCCCTATTTTCAGCACCAGGAGTCCTCACATTGACCCTAATCAACTTGGGACTCTCAACAAAGTACTTGAAAAGGAAGATGGTGGCTACCCTGACATGATGACTACCCACCCAAGCTCCAGGTACGAAGGCTGTTCTGGAATTACTCTAGCTATGTTTACTTCATTCTTTCGTCATTTTAACAAATATATATAGGGCTGCTGCCTAGAGGAATTTTAAAATATTCATACGCCATGTCTCACACAGAGGTAAGGAATTCTTATTTCCTCTTACATAACCAACAAAGCAAATGCAGCTGAAGAACAGCCTGCAAAAGAATTCATTCCACAGAGATTTAAAATGTCTAAAAATGAGCAGTTTTCAAGTGCATCATTGGTCGTGACTATTTGTAAGTCTCCTCCGTGGGCAACTAGACTGCCAGCAATCAACAAGACCAGCAGGAATGATGGATGGGATAATTGTCCATTAGGGTACAGATAACTTTTGTATCGTGGGAGGGTTCGGCAAGATAGAGACGTGATAGATGGCAGAAGAGTTAGCTAATATAATAGGAGTTGCAGCTCCGTTTCTGGTAGTAACTATTCTTTGGCTGAATCAATGATTAATCAAAGACACATTCTCATTTGAAACACTTTGCTCACCGGTGCACAACCCCCGCTTTAGGTTAAATTTAATAGCATCATTAAAAACTGCTGTTCAAGACATTCAAATTACTTCTCTCTGGAAGAAAACAAGCCACAATAGAGAGTGCTTTTGTGAGCCCATGGAGGGCAGGGGCCATGCAAGGTGTGGAGCAGACACAGAGCACTCAGTAAATGTTTGTTAAAGTGATGTGAAATTAACTAATACATTCGTCCATTCATTCATCTGTTTATTCCTTCAACAGACCTTCATTAAATATAGGAATTAAAGAGTTCAGGCCCTGGAACTAGATGCTTTAGGCTTCAAATTCCAGCTGCAACCAGCTATATGATCTTGAGCAGATGACTTAGCCTCTCTTAGCCTGATGCCTGCTCTGTGACGTGGGGGAAATAATAGTACTTGCTCCTGTAGGGCTGTGTGGGGATTAAATGAATTAGTGAGTGTTTAGTACAGGCCCTGGCCCATAGTGAGTACTCACTATAGGGCAACTGTTACTGTATTGTTGTTGTATTTGTTAGGCTAGGCATCTCTCAAGTAACTAGGTCATTTGAAGAAGCAAGAAATGACAAGGCTTTTGGCCAAGGCTGGTTTTCATTAAAGTGGTTATATATGGTTCCCAGCCCAGAGCCCCACTACCCTAGGCCTGCCATTCCTGGCCTGGTGCCCTCCTGTGGCAGCACAGGCTGTCTCTAGATGGGTTGTGGTCTCTAGAGAAGCCTGAGAAATTGTGGAGTGGGAAAGTGAAGAAAGAAGGTAAGAGCTGGCCAGGATACAATTACCCATCAACACGCAACCCCCCCACCTGCATCATTAACTCCCTTTCTATGCTTTCTATAGCTCTTCCTGGCAACATTTCTACCTAAGAATTGCCATTTCTAATGTTTATCCTCTTGGCTCAGCTGAACAATATTATCCTTGATTTTGATTTTGATTTTAATTTTCAGGTGACGTAGAGAATACTTGACTTGGGAGTTGGGTCAGGAGGCAAGGGAGGCGATACAACTCACTGATTATAATTGGATTCTGACATAGAAACAACTAGTCAGTGAAGAGCTGTGTGACCTAGACATTATGTAATGCATCTGAGCCTCAGCTGTAGAAAAGGGAAAGCGAGAATACTGGTTGTCAAGACTAAATCAAAACCACCTAGCATACTGCCTGGTTAACAGTAAAATAGTCAATAAATGGTGACTATGGCTATTGTTTTGAGGTCCTTCATCTGGAAACAGAAGCGCAGAGAGATGAAGAGAACAACACCCGCGTAGTTATTGGGTTGGTTGCAGAACCTTCTTGCTCCTTGTTCTCGTTCTCACTACCAACCCAGGCCTCTCTTTCAGACCTTTTACAGGACCTTATATACACATACTCTGAGATGCTATTTCTAATTATAGGTCACGCTTGGTTTTTTGCATGAGGTAGATTTAATAAATTCAAATGTATTCTTCCCATAGCTGTCTGCCTGGAAGATCTTATGAACAACTCCAGGGCAGGAGCCATAGTTTGCGCATGTAATATATGCTCAATAAATGTTTGGTGAGTGAATGTTAAGCTTGCAGTCAATAAGCTACCTGAGTTATGGATGTCCCATATCTCTTGTGTTACATTACAAGCAGTGCAGAAAAGTGGAATGGGTGCAATGGACTCATGCAGGCCTGGGTTCGAACTCTACAGCTGGTAGCTGGGTTCAAAGCACCTAAGAGTACTGGAAAATGCAGTTCTGGATAAATAGAGGAAAAACAGTAGCAGTAGTACTAATAGTAGTAGCAGCAGCAATAGCAGCAGCAGCAGCAGCAGTAGTAACTATCAGCAAAAAGTGGAGTAAGAAAACTTTCATAAGGATGAATTTTGTTCTCAAGAGCTTTAAGGGGTCCAAACGGTGCTATGTGGAGGAAGTATAGTGTAACCGACTGAGATAAACCTGGGTTTGAATTCTAGCTCTCAACTTACTGTGTCTGACCTTGCAATATATTTCCTGAGCCTCAGTATCTTCATTGTAAACTTTAGATGATAGTACCTACCTCACACCTTTGTAGTGAGGATGAAATAAGATATGGTATATAAAGTATATCATAGCACAACACCTCGCTCATAACAATGTCTCACAAATGCTATTTGATGAATTAATGAATGTGTATCTTTAGCAAAATGCCATAAAAAACTACAGCCACCCTTTAGAATCTGCCTGAGAGGGGAACGAGGAAGAGACTATTCCAAATAAGAACTGGCTCAACACTTAAACACCTGTCTCTTGCCAAGCAACACGTTATGTTGAAAGTACTGGAAAAATTAGCGTGATCAGAACAAACCATTCCCAGTGAATGCATAGAGAGAAGCTGCTGTTTCCCATCATAACCACACAGTTGCTGTACCTGAGAGAGTTCATCAGAATGTTAATAAGTGTCTGAAAATACAAGTGCAGTGCCTGACACATATAGAATAGTTGGTCATCTTAGTTCCTTTCCTACCCTTCTCCAAAATGGGTAGAAACAAATGCACCACTAACCAAACAAGCAGCAACAGAAAAACTGAGTTAAAGTGGTTGAGAACTGATCATGGCACTGACCTTACTGGACTGACCCTTCACTCTTGGCTCTGGTGTGACCTGCCAGCCTGGAGAGCCTCTCAGCCAACCTCCGCCTCCCAGGTTCAAGTGAATTTCCTGCCTCAGCCTCCCAAGTAACTGGGACAACAGGTGTGTGCCACACCCAGCTAATTTTTGTATTTTTAGTAGAGTCAGGGTTTCACCATGTGGGCCAGGCTGGTCTTGAACTCCTGAACTCAGGTGATCTGCCTGCCTCGGCCTCCCAAAGTGCTGGGATTACAGGTGTAAGACACCCCGCCTGGCCTCCTCTTTCCTCTTTATGAGCCTGCAGGGTACAGGACACGATGAGGTGGGATCTATTCACAGCCTAGGCTACAAAAACTGTCTTTTCTCCCGTTTCTGTTCTTTGCCCCTCAGCCCCTATTTCTTGTTTGGACATGCACTAAGAATAGCATTTAGGATTCCTGCGTTCTCTGTCTCTTTTTTAATGTTTGGATTGGCTGTTCGCCAAGGCAACTGAATCAATAGCATTTTCAAAGAGCAGGTGAGTTTGGGGAAGATCTCTTATCTTTGCCAATATATTAACTCCCTGCGAATTAAAGCCATCAGAGACCCTCTTGGAAAGAGCAGATAAGTTATCCCAGGACTTCCATATTAAAGTCCCTATAAAAGCCCAAACAAGGTTGTCATTTTTAAGGGAAAAATACTCCAGGTGTCTTAGTTGCTGCTAGGAAATTTGAGAAGTGACCTGCAGGTTACATTTCTGATGTGAAAACCACTTTATGTTCCATGTAAGCAACTGTTTGACGTGTGGCATTGTAGTAATGGGTGTGAAACATCTGGTTTTAACCAGAATGTGGGTGATTTGCTCACAACTGGGGAGGACAGGTAAATATGGCTTTGCCTCCCAGTCTTGTATCTGGCCCAGACATGCAAATTCCAGTCTGCAAACTTATTCTTCTCTGCCAGCACTCAATAGGTTAATGTCAGCAACTGGCAGAGGTCTGCCTGTGTTACAATGAGTGGCACATGGCAACAGGTAATGACAACAGAAGGCTGCCAGAAAAGGAAGCCCAGCTTCTCTCAGGGCCAGATAATGTGACTTGCCAGTCAGGGCAAGGAACAGTTCCTGGTTCTGGGCCATTACTAGAGGTACAGAGAACAGAACCAGGAGAAACCTGGACAGGGAAAAGTAGATGACAGCTACCATTTGTTGAGCACTGGCTCTGTGCAGGCACCATGCCAAGTCTGGGTGTGTTCTCTCATTTGATCACAGGAAGAGCCCCATTTTTCCAGAAAGGGAAACTGCAGCCATAAGGCAAAAACAGATCAAAAACTAGGAATTGGGAACAACACAAATACCAAAGCACTCAGAAGGCAAAGCAGTTGGAGCCAGTTGTCAAGAAAACTTCAGAAACCTGTGTTCCTTATAGCCATGGCCATTGGGATTTGGAGATTTGCATCCAAGCCCTCCATTTCTTTAGCTGCCTCCTTTATTGGGTCAGGTCTTCCTGTCACACCTCAAGGTGTTGGCAAGGGCAGAGAGCTGGTTTGGCAAGAACCAGGACCAGAAGAGGGATGGACAGGTGTATGCAACAGATTCCTTTGAGGAATACTTTAATGGCCATATGCCATAAAACTCCAGCTAGCGTGCCAGTGGAAGAAGAGGATCGATAAGTTGCAATAGACAAATTGGCACATAAATTTGAGCTTTGTTTATACTTCTATAATCGATGTTACTCATTTCCTTGTGTGAAACTAAGATGTTCTGCCATCAGTAATACCTGTCAATAAATGCAAATATGCTTGAATTTCATTAGCACCCTGCTTAAGCATACTGACAATTGCAATGAAAGCACAAGTCCTACTGAAACTAGCACACAACAGAAGTCACAACACAACTCTGACGCGTGACCTGTCTACGTAGTCTTCCCTCAC